GGCTGAGTTTGATGGGTGACTTGGTGGAGCTTTTTCCCATCTATGGCTGAGACACGAAGAGGTTGAGTCAGAGGAATGGTTTCAATTTTCAGTTGTTGGACGAGATTTGAATCAATGAGGTTCCGTTCACAGCCTGAATCGATGAATGCAGAGAAAGAGAGGTTTTGGTTAGCAAAAAACAGAGTGGCTGGAAGCATCAGTCGAGGAGATTTCTTAGAACTAGTTTGGCCCGCCAGACTCCTCAGAACCTCTGGCGGGCCCAGGCTTTTGACTTAGCCGGGCAGGAAGCGATGAAGTGTCCACTCTCACCACAATAAATGCAAAGTTTACTCAAAAAACGTCTTTGTCTTTCTTCTGGAGTTAGCCTAGTGTGTCCAACCTGCATGGGTTTGACTTCCATTTCACCAGAATGAGAAGCCTGAACAGGCAGAGGAAGAGACTGGGCCTTAGGTCTCAACTTGGGCAACTGTTCTGTGGGAGGAGAAAAAACAGTCACATTATTTGAAGCAGGGGCAGCGGAAGGAGATCCTAGGTTTCTTGGCTTGGAGCTGTTTCTAGCTCGGATTCGGTTGTCCAATCTTATTGTCAACTTTATTAATTCTTCGAGGGTGGCAGGTTCGTCGAGGGTTGCAAGTTCGTCCTTAATGTTTTCATTTAAGGCCATAAAATAAGCCCCTTTCAGAGCGCTTTGGTTCCATCCGGAAGCTGCTGCTTTAACCCGGAAGTTGATGGAGAAATCAGCCACAGAAGAATTTCCCTGTTTGATACTGAAAAGAGCACGAGAGTCAATAGTTTGATCCGTCTCTTGGTTAAAAACCTGGGAGAATTCAGAAATAAAGTCTGAATATCGGCAGTTGAGGCTTTCATCGGAAGAAAATCTGGCCTGAGCCCACTCCAAGGCTCTTCCTGTTAATTGAGAAAGAATAAAGGTTATTCTTTTATAATCCGTGGAAAAGCTGTTGGGAGAATTCTGAAAAAGTAACCGGCACTGAAATAAAAATCCTTTGCAATCCTTCATATTACCGGAGAATCTTTCAGGAAGGTTTGGGCGGAACTCAGATGACGTCACAGCTGGTGACCTCGGAGGGGGAACAGGACCCGGAAATGGTTGCGCTGCTGGCGTGGCATTAGCATTGCTCACATAATTTGCGTAGCTCTGAAGCATATGATTGTGAGTGTCAACCAGGCGATATAACTCACGGAGTGTCTGGGTTTGTCCTTGGATTTGGGCATCCTGCTCCTCCAAGCGACGGCGGAGGTGATCTGCTGGGCCTTGTGTTTGGCCGCAGTGTTCTGTCATGATGGGTTCTCAAAAGAGACCCAAATATGCAGAACACCACTAGACGGAAACAGGTGTAAAAGTTTAACAGAGTTTATTGTCACAAAGCACAATGAATACTGGTTCTGGTTCTGGTCCAGGGACACGGGTTCACCGGAGTCTGCGTGGGAAGACAGTTCAGTTAGCGAGGCACTTAGGGATTTGTCTTCATATAGTTTCTGGCTTGTACCTTGAGGGTCCACGATTAGGCTTTGAGAGGAAGGTTGTTGGAACTGGAGAGAGTTTGGTTCGCAGAGTCCGACAGCTGCTTCAGCGTCTTACTTCTTTGGGTTTGAACAGAGCTAAGCTCAGGGTTTCCAGCTCTTGATCCAAGGCTGCATGGAAGTTCAAAGGCAGGCTTCAGGTTTGGCTCAGAGGGCAGGCTAGGCAGGTTAAGCTCTTCCAAAGCTTCACAGGAGAAAGACTGGTTTCCTGGAAAACAGAGACAGAGGTTAGAATCCAGCTTGGATTCAAAAGTCAACAAAAGTTCTCAGAAGGTTCTAGGCTTAGTGCTAACCAACTGGATCAACACTGCGGCGTTGAGGCAAGTTCTGAAGACAGCTTAAGTAGTGGATCCTCTGATGATGGAATGAGCTGCAGCTGTGAAGGAGGCTCAGCTCAGGAGGATCCACGGCGGACTCTGCTGGAGAAAGGTGGTACTTCTCCAGCTTCCAACACAAACAAGCTCCGAGCCAGCTCCCATGTCAGAGGATGAAGAGAGCACATGCAGCCAGTGATAGTCAGAGAAACAGGACTACACTGAAAAACAGGCCGTTTTCAAACATTTATAAAGGGTGTTGATGGCAGCAGCACAGGTGATATTACTCTCCAGGATGGCGTCACAGCTAAACAGGAACAGACCAGATGAAGCTACTATGAGAAAAAGCAGAGAGAGCAGAACGTTAGAGATTGAACTAACAGATTCTGCAGAATAGGAGAACAGAGAGAGAATGAAGCAGAATGATGAAATGGGGGTCCCTATGTCCTCCAGCAGTCTAAGCCTATAGCAGCATAACTATAGAGATAGCTCAGGATAACCTGAGCTACTCTAACTATAAGCTTTATCAAAAAGGAAAGTTTTCAGCCTACCCATAAGAATAGACAGGGTGTCTGCCTCGTGGACTAAAACTGGTAGTTGGTTCCACAGGAGAGGAGCCTGATAACTAAAAGATCTGACTCCCATTCTACTTTTAGAAATTCTAGGAACCACTAGTAAACCTGCAGATTGAGAGCGAAGTGCTCTGTTAGGAACATAAGGAACAATCAGATCTCTGTTATAAGATGGAGCTTGGCCTTTTAAGGCTTTATATGTGAGAAGGAGGACTTTAAATTCGATTCTTAATTTAACAGGAAGCCAAAGAAGATAGATATATGATCTCTCTTTTTAATTTTCAAGAACTCTGGCTGCAGAATTTGGATCAACTGAAGGCTTTGAACTACAGCTTGTGGACTTCCTGATAGTAAAGAATTAAAATAGCCTTCTTGAAGTAACAAATGTCACAGACTCAGCATCAAACTGACAACACCAAACCAAAACACTGCATATATGTTTTATGCTATGATCTTTCATATCAATGTGTTTCTTTTGCACCATGTTTTTTCTCCCACACTGTTTATATTTGATCTCTGCTGCACTTTCAGAAATGGAAATGTCATAAAAACTGTACAAAACGAAATGTCTTTTTCTATGCAATCTGTGTATACAAAATGACAATAAAAGTTGTCTAAGTCTAGTATTGTAGTCAAAGGCACACCAATTAAGAGCAAAGAGTACCGAGACCAAGACGAGGTCAAGACCCTTAGAGGCCGAGACCAAGACCACATAAGGTCTAAGTCTCGGCCTCTTAAGGTCTTGTCTTGGTACTCCTTGGTCTTGGTTGGAGTTTTCTTGACTGCAACACTACCTATAATCAAGCCCAGTTTGGGGGTTTCACTGGGAAGCTTTTTCATTTTCTTTTACAACTGCAAACATTTAAATTCCCTTTTATTTTTGTTTGTCTTCTGATTTTTACCACTCTACAGTTTGGCAATAACAAATTAATAATTTACTAATAAATCCACTAATAGTATAGGTGTGTCGGTGCACTATATCTTGCAAATTTCAGCAGCTGCACCTTCACTGTAGGACAGTGCTGACAGACTGGCAGAGTTCTCATTTGATAGGAGACTAGAGATTACCATTATTTGTTACAGGTGATAAAAATCCAACTGCAAAAACTATCACAATTTTTACAATTTTAATTATTTTTTTTATCAGAATAGTAGGCCTAAATTTGCCAAAACCATCTTAATTTTTTCTAAACCATATTTATGAACCACTCATTGTCACTCTGTTCCATATTTTTACAATATGAAACAAATCAAGGGGTCTGAATAGTTTTCTAAGGTACTTTAACATTTCTAAAGTCTGCAGCAGGATCAGACAAGCTGAAACATGTTGTCCTTCTGACCGATAAAATATCTGTACCAATAAAACACAGAGATAACAACACCTTCCTCTGAACTTGTCCTAGGTTCTTTGAAACCGCAACCCCTAGATAGACAGCCAGACAGGGAGATATACACCTGGAAAATGTATCATTTACACATAGCACTCCCTAAACTTATCAGTTCCACTCCATGGTGCAAATTTCATTTGGATTTTTGCTTAAAATGTGGAACATCAGTACACAAAAGCTTGTTATAGTGTTATCACTGCTTCAGGAAGCAGTAAATCTACTTAGGTATATACATGATAAACTCTAAATGGGTCAGTGGAGAAGCCAGTTGAAGGGGTGAGAATAGAATAGAATAGAATAGAATTAAATGTTAAATGGCCTGTACTTATATAGCGCTTTTTCAAGTCAGGAAACTTGACCAAAGCGCTTTACACTGCATTCAGTCATTCACCCATTCACGCACACACTGATGATGGTAAACTGTAGCAACAGCTGCCCTGGGGCTCACTGACAGAGGTGAGGCTGCCGTACCCTGGTGCCACCGGGCCCTCTGACCACCATCAGTAGGTAATGCAGGTGAAGTGTCTTGCCCAAGGACACAACAACACTAAAAGCTGGAGCAGGGACTTGAACCGAGAACCCTCTGATTGCAGGGCAAACTCCTGCACCTGACGCCAATGCCACCCCCTAGCATAGAATGATAAGTAATAATAAGTCTTTTGCATTGTGGTTGTATATGTGTAAAGGGTGAACAGCAGAGTGTTCTGAGGCTGAGGTAGGAAGATGCATGTTGAACCAGACTAATTCTCTGGCTGGGATTCTCTGGATGCGAGAGGAAGCTGGGAATCTACATGCAGACTGAAGCAGTCCACTGTCCCTTTTTTGGGTTTGTCCTTCAGTTTGAAGGAGATGAGGCGTGGAATTGTGAGAGCAGCCGCACGTAGCTCCCCTACTGCTCTGCATGAGACAGTGCAGAATGGATAAATGACTGTTGGACTCAGTACAACTGGTTGGTAGTTATTAGAGCTGGAAATGGGGGTTTCTAGCTGGAAAATATCAAAGGTTAAAATTCCCAATAGATAGTCCAGCAGGGGTAGTACAACAATGTTTTGTTTGTTTTTTTCTTATTGAAGGAATTCATACAGTGATATATGTATATAACAATGAAATACCTACAGTGAGGGTGGAGTTTAAAAAAAGAATTCAAGGAGGAGCCTTTCTGCTCAGTTTGTTTCTTTATCTGAACGCGGAAGGACATTGGGGGAAAGGTTGTGTTGCACAGCTCGTGGTAGAATCACTTAAAACTCTTCCATCTCAAGCAGGAGGACAAACTACCACCATGAAAACAGAGGAAGCAACTGCTGCTGCTCCTGATTCAGCTCCAACCAAACAGGGCTGGAAGGTAAGAGATACACTATATTGCCAAAAGTATTTGCTCACCTGCCTTGACTCACATATGAGCTTAAGTGACATCCCGTTCCTAATCCATAGGGTTCAATATGACGTCGGTCCACCCTTTGCAGCTAGAACAGCTTCAACTCTTCTGGGAAGGCTGTCCACAAGGTTTAGGAGTGTGTTTATGGGAATTTTTGACCATTCTTCCAGAAGCGCATTTGTGAGGTCGCACACTGATGTTGGACGAGAAGGCCTGGCTCTCAGTCTCCGCTCTAATTCATCCCAAAGGTGTTCTATCGGGTTGAGGTCAGGACTCTGTGCAGGCCAGTCAAGTTCATCCACACCAGACTCTGTCATCCATGTCTTTATGGACCTTGCTTTGTGCACTGGTGCACAGTCATGTTGGAAGAGGAAGGGGCCAGCTCCAAACTGTTCCCACAAAGTTGGGAGCATGGAATTGTCCAAAATGTCTTGGTATGCTGAAGCATTCAGAGTTCCTTTCACTGGAAGTAAGGGGCCAAGCCCAGCTCCTGAAAAACAACCCCACACCATAATCCCCCCTCCACCAAACTTTACACTTGGCACAATGCAGTCAGACAAGTACCGTTCTCCTGGCAACCGCCAAACCCAGACCCGTCCATCAGATTGCCAGATGGAGAAGCGCGATTCGTCACTCCAGAGAACGCGTCTCCACTGCTCTAGAGTCCAGTGGCGGCGTGCTTTACACCACCGCATCCGACGCTTTGCATTGCACTTGGTGATGTATGGCTTGGATGCAGCTGCTCGACCATGGAAACCCATTCCATGAAGCTCTCTGCGCACTGTTCTTGAGCTAATCTGAAGGCCACATGAAGTTTGGAGGTCTGTAGTGATTGACTCTGCAGAAAGTTGGCGACCTCTTCGCACTATGCGCGTCAGCATCCGCTGACCCCGCTCCGTCAGTTTACGTGGCCTACCACTTCGTGGCTGAGTTGCTGTCGTTCCCAAACACTTCCATTTTCTTATAATACAGCTGACAGTTGACTGTGGAATATTTAGGAGCGAGGAAATTTCACGACTGGATTTGTTGCACAGGTGGCATCCTATCACAGTTCCACGCTGGAATTCACTGAGCTCCTGAGAGCGACCCATTCTTTCACAAATGTTTGTAAAAACAGTCTGCATGCCTAGGTGCTTGAATTTATACACCTGTGGCCATGGAAGTGATTGGAACACCTGATTCCAATAATTTGGATGGGTGAGCAAATACTTTTGGCAATATAGTGTAGTTAAAGATTACAGGGGGGCAGCTGTGTGGTAGGAATGATCCCTAACTTGTCCTGTGTGTGTCTTACAGTGTCCTCTTAGTGACGCTCATGTCCACAGGGAAGATGTGAGGAAGGTTTGGAAAGAGTGCCAGGAGGAGAGCTTCTGGTACAGAGGTAACCTCCTTTAGATACTAATCATAATTCTGTAGATTTCTGCACAGTTTTGACATTTATTCAACTTTATAAGTTTAAAAACCTCTTATCAGGAAACGGATCAGTACTTTTTTCTGTGTGTAGCAGCAGCGTACTTGGACTCATCAGTCACTGTAATGGCGTTTACATTCCCACTTCTCCCTGTGGAAAATGCGAGGACCTAAAAAAAGAGTCTCCATATGTGAAGGTAGTAGTTCCTCATTTGGAGCAAATAAAACTGAGGGAAACATCATGGCGGGCCAGCACAGCCTGCATGGTCTTTGTCTCAGGCTACGGCTGGATGGCGCTTTGCTGGGAGTGTCCACAGCAAAGCGCCACAGGTTAAGCTGATTCTCAAAGGAAAAACCAACCAAGAACCGCCTCTGCAAGAATGACAAAGCAAACAAATGATTTGTCAAAGTAACTGCTAAATGAAGGCGATCAGATATAGGCATAAATACTGCAGCACAGGTATAACCCACTGACTCTGTGCATGAGAAGTACGGTACTCCAGTGGTGGCTGATAGAAGGAAAACAGAAAACCTTTTGTGTTTTATGTGGAAACACTTTCTAATCTGCATCCTCTCTCTCTGCCCCTCCACTCACCATCAGCCATGGAGCTGCTGCTCCTCTTCTATCAGCATCAAAAATCAGCACTTCCTCCATTTGTACCTTTGCCCTCTAATTAATCAGATGGATATTTATTTCCACTCCAAGGGTCAACATTTAAAACAACGGGCAAAGAGCATTGGATTTGTGACTAGCTTGCAAAATCAAAACCTTAAACTTCCTTTGAGAAACATCTGGGAAGCACACATCATCAACAGCCGGATGTCTCACTGCTTTTATTAATTTAGAATACTTTATTATTTTTGTTTTAATAAAGTGTCCATTTCCATGTGTTAGAGATGACCTGATTAGGTTCTTCCTTTTTTTGAGGTTTGGGCTTCATATTTAGATTTTTTTTTATCTGCTGGTTTTTGCTTGTTTGTTACAGACATATATAGCAGAAAAAAAGGAGCTGCAGGAATCCATAAAAAAATGAAGAATTTACATGATTATACCCATTGATGCATCAAAGTATTTGGGCCTAAAGTTAATCTGATATCTATTCAACTCAGAAATGTGTTTAATGAATCTTTTACCAAACATTGATTACATTCATGAACTCTTTAAGTTACTTTCTTAGGTTTGAGACCCCTCTCTTTACCCATATTTTCCTTTATCTTCTTTTTTTATTTCATCAGTGATGTTATGGTTTGTTTTTGATCGTATAATATAACAGAGAAAATTATATAATTACACTGCAAAAACGATCTAGAAATAAGTCAACATTTCTTAAATTAAGTATATTTACACTTAATTTAAATAAATAAGATGATTTGCCTATGTGATTACTATTTTTACATCTAAAATAAGATAATTAGATAATAAGCACTTGAGATAAGATAATGCAATATTTGTTTCTTATTTTAAATGTAAATGATCTTGTTCCATTGGAAAAGTGTCTCACCTCCTCAATTCAAGAAAGAAACCATTTATTTTACTAAATAATGGCTTATCTAGATTTAGATTTTTTTCCAGTATTGCAACTATGTTATGTTATGGGCTGCTCAGTGAAGCAGTGGGTGGTACTGCTGCCTTGCAGCAAGAAGGTTGCGGGTTCGATTCCTGGCGATTCCTGAGCATGAGAGGGTTCTCTCTGGGTACATAGTCCAAAAACATGATTCTAATTGGCTTCTCTAAATTCTCCTTCGTTTATCTCTGTATTGCACTGCGATGGACTGGCAACCTGTCCAGTGTGGACCCCGCCTCTCCCCCATAGACAGCTGGAGATAGGCACCAGCCCCCCTCGCGACCCTGCTTGGGATAAAGCATGCCAGAAAATGGATGGATAACTATGTTATGCTTGTCTACTTCACTGATGTTAATGACAATATAAGGGAAAAAAGTGTCTACAAATATATGCTCTGGTTTTATGTATTTATTGACAGTGCCTGAAACAGAACCTACTGTTCAGAAAATTGCATCTAAACATCTATTGCCTGTTTATTGGTGCATGTCTGCCATTTTCCTATTACTGGGCTAATTTAATCACCTTCCTGCCTTCATTTTTCTTATTTCCCATTCAGCTCTTCCGCTGTCTCTGGGTAGCATGACTGTTACTGGTGGTCTCATCTACAGTGGTAAACACAGTCATCCATTAAACCATTAACATTCATTTTTTACTGTGTTTCGTTCAAGCTAATGGGTTTTTGCTGTTGTTTGCTTTATTGCAGGTGTTTGGAAATCATCAGCAAGGTTCGGGCCTTTTCCAAAACTAGCAGGTCTGGATTATTCTCCTTGCAGATACATAGGGGGTTTATCAGTTGTAATTATAAAAAATATATATATAATTCTTTTCTTTTTAGTTGCTGGGATTCTGGGATTTGCAGTGGGAAAAGTTTCCTATGCTGGAACTTGTCGACGCAAGTTCCAGGAGATTGGTATTCAAGATGGCCCAGGATCATGGTCCAGAAAAGGGCCCTCTGGTCCAGGGAGCAGGAACAGGTGGGGAAAATTAGTGTCACTATTACTGATTACCTCATCAATCCACTATGTATTTTATCCACCACATGCAAACTATTTCCAAAAGTATGAATCTTATTTGCAACACATAAAACGTGTCTCTCCACTCATGAAGGTTGGAAAGATCACTGTTGTGTTTTAGAAAATCTATAATTAGTACAATCCAGATCTGTCCATTCTACATTTTTGTTGCTTTTCTGCAGCAATATCAGCTTAATTCTTTTTATGTTTTGTTTTTAAATCAGAGTAAATAAATGGTAAATTTCTAAATGTATTTTAAAGATTATGAATTCAGTTTTGAAGAATCCAGTTTAAGTTTGAGTGATTTGGGGGCGGTAGCTTCCAGATGGTGGTGTGCAGGTGGGCTGCTTCATCTCATGTTACATCACTCATGATTTTCTCATCTCAACAGACACTGCCATCATGAGTGTGAAGAATGCAAGAAAAAACCTCAATCTGTCCCTGCTGAGCAAGCTTAGATTCCAAGGTACATAAAGCTAATGGCAACGAAGCTTTGAAAAATCTGAGCATTTATTACCTCTAAATATGTACTGACATGACCTACTCTCATGTTTTGCTTTGTTTTAATTTTTCAGCACGGGAAGAAGCAGCTGAGGGGATTTATCAGAGCTGTATTCCTGTTTAGCACAGGAAAATGTGAATAAACTTACTGGAAATGTATTTTTGATGTATTGCTTCTTCAAAGAATCCACTGGATGGTGCTAGAATACCATCGGTGATAGATAAAGAATGCAGTTTCCCTTTTTTAAATAAATGCCACCTTGTGAACTAAACTAAAGCCTCTATTGTAGGGTTATTTGTTTTATTTTTAAAATCCAAAAAGGTGAATACTTTGTATGGCATAACTTGAGTAGCTAACCATTACCATCATCATCATACTTTTGGCTACAGACTTTGTGCGAAATAAATTTTTCAAATTTCAGCTTTTTTCAATTCATCTAAGTTGTTTCTGTCACTGCACAAAAAAATCCCTTTTTTATTTTCCTGACTTTTTAGGAGAAAGGATGTGTAAATTGTTTATTTTTAATAGCTTACATTAGGATGGTTTAAAGTTTATTAGGCCTAAGCTGCAAAAGCTCTGCAAATGCCAGTTGAATCTGTAGAGTTCATCCCCCCCCCCCCCTTGTTTTATTGGTTTTTTTTTCTCCTGACAAATGAAGCAGCTGTTTGCATGATTTAACACATTCAAAAGCTCACTAAACTTCACAGTAAATTGTCCCTCAATGGAAATGAATTTATTTTAATGGAATAAAAAATAGGTGTGTCCAATCGGCCCCCTAAAGTGAGATTGTGAAAACCAAAAGTAGCAGAGATTTAAAATGTAGAACAGATATAGATCTTCTTTGTGTGTGTCCTGTTTAGCCAATATAGGGAATTGGGAATTGATGTCCCAGAACTAGTTGATAGCCCAGCAGCTTTCTTTCACAAGCAGACCATTATTGTTGTTTTGCATAATGTTCTGCTTGATACTTACATTGCATTAAACTTTATTGAACATTATTTGGAGAGTAAAGTTGCAAAGAACAGACGCGGAAAGGGAGGTGAGTGAGAAAGATGGCATAAGAACTAAGGGGAGAGAGATAGAGAAATGAAAGAGTAAACGAAAAGAGAGAAAATAAAACAAAACATAACTCCTAGAAGATTGCTTCCATGGCTGTATGAGACGAGAGGAACAGAAAACAGAGAGCAAAACATCAAAAAGAAGACAACAGAAAACCGTAGTAAACTTTTAAAAAAAGCTTCAAGAGTAGCGGGTATCCTCTCTATTTGTCATAGTGAGAACCTGTGGTAATTATACAATATTAATCAGGTTGGTATATATCTGTAGCTACAGATTATTTTTTAGTATCAACGTGTATCCCTGAACACCTGGAACCCAATGCATGAAAACACTCTTCAGAAGGAAAGTATGCTTAATAGCAGGTGTGGGTGGCCCCAGACTAGCCCTACAGGACCCAGGACAGAAAGGCGACACAAGCCCCATTTTCCAGAGGCACTCCAGATCACTGGGACACAAGGAGGGCAGACATAGGGATAGCTGCACCCACCAAAGAAGGGCAGATGAGAACACCCGGAGCCCGACCACCCGGGAACACATGTGCATCTACCAAAATCATGAACAAAAAGTCTCTTGGAGATATGCTCTAAAACTCATGTGGAACTTTAATGAATGAACAGTTAGGCCATGTGAGATCTAAAGTCATCAAAATGGGGAGTTTTTGAGAATACTGAAGGGCCGTGGAAAGGCCTCAAAGTGTGAGTAGTTGCTGACATTTTTTAAAGGTAATAACTTTCACATATATGAAATGAAACCAAACAGAAAGTCGCTTTTTTCAGTTTGAAGAGTCCCTTTTCATCCTACTTGACCTCGACAATTTAAAAATGTGTCGGCAGACAGAAAACAAAAACTTTAAGGCGAAGTTTATTCTCGTCAAAGGTTGCAGATGTAGCGGCACGGTGAAGTGATGTTACATGCCTGCCAGGCTGTTTGTTTCTCCTTCCCCTCCCCCTTTTGTTTGTCTTCAGTGTGGAAGTAATGAAAGCTGACATCAATCTCCCCTGATTGGGCCATGGTTGACGAGGACCAATCAACATCTAGGGAGGCTGTATTTAAGAAGCCCAGCTGGGGAGCTGGGGCCTCTCTAGGGCTCTCGGCCTCTCTCTCCAACTGGCTCTGTTACGCTGACACACGTCTTGTTTGTTTGAAGGTTTGTGGTGGGAGATTAGTGGGCGAGGTAAGTTTGGGGTACCCTGTACATTTCATCACGCAGGTGTTTTATGTTAGACACACTAGGTAAGCAGGTGGGTGCCACCCATGTAAAGTTTTGTTGGAAACCTTTGTTAGATTGGATAGGCAGGGTTTTTGTTTTCTATTTCTTTCCTTTAGAATAGATGGTAGTTAGGCCCTGTTTTGTTTTATTATTTTCTTTGATTTGGCACCACCTAACCGTCCCTTTCTCCCCCACAGTGTGTGCAAGCCTTCTGGGATTTTTGTTGTTAATAAATCCCTATGTCTTTTAAAACATTCACCTGGACTCTGTCAATTTTTGTGGTTGTCGCGTTACTCCCCTCCTCCTTACAAAAGGGGGGGCGGTAACAAGTGGGGGCTTGTCCGGGATCATTTTCCCTGAGCTGTAGACATCCACAATAATTTGAGAGATCCTTGTGTCTGTTCAGAAATGAGCTTCAGCTTAGAGGAGTTCGTAAAGGCTCCTAGCCACGAACAGCTGGAACTGTGTCGTAAGGACGACTTGTTATGTTTGGCCAGGGCCGGTTCTAGCCCTTTGGTTGCCCTAGGCGAGATTGAGTTTTGCGCCTATCTATCAGTTGTTTCGGGTATTTCTATTCACCTTCAAAATTGATGCAGCATTAAAATTTGACTCGTCTGGACTTCCTAATGGCAAATTCGTTGATGGTATCATCAAATGAGATTTTATTTGAGACCTCTTAGTTGATGCTCATCAGTGCAAGCCCATTTTGATGATTATTTGATGATTATAAATCAAACGCGCATCTACACAGCACAGCGTTCACAGACCAGTGAGATGCATAAACAAACAAACAAAAACAAAAATACAATACAGTTCAGTAAAATACAGTTCTGTTTTATGCCTCATTCTTGTAAGTTTAAAATGTTCCAATGCTCCCGAATGCACCATAGCTTTCTGACGCGCAGTGAACGCATCTCACTGGTCTGTGAACGCTGTGCTGTGTAGATGCGCGTTTGATTTTCCACTTAAGAGAAACCTTTGCAAACTCCAAACTCACGTCGGCTATCACGGTTTAGTGTTGTGTGTAAATAACAAGAGACCACAACAAATAAATCAGCCGTACCATGGTCAAAATCTTTGGATTTAATGTTGTTCAAAAAATCCGTAATGTTATAAATTAATCTGCCAAATAACCACAACTTTTTTCCCACGAGAGGTATTTTTAAACGTTTTTATATCATTAATATAAGAACCTAAGCTCCATTGAACATATTTTAATCCGTTTTCCTCGTCGATATGCAGTTCAACAGAGCGAGGCGCGCTCCCGCGACTGGGGTTGCATATTTCGGCAGGCATGCACTTTTGGGCATAACACCGGCCGACGTCCAATCTCCACTCATTGTCCGACTCGCTGTTGTTCGTCCGCTGCCTTCTCTTCATCTGAAACATCTGGGTCGAACATGTGAGGCTCCAGACACAAATATTCTTCCTCTGATACATCAGAATGGTCTCCTGGTAGGAATCGCTCGGTTGAAGTCGAAATTTTGCTTTCAGATTTCTCGTTTTGGCTATCGCATATAGTGCAGGAGGCCGCCATGAACGCTCCCGTTCTGACGTCACGACTTCCGGGTTGGAGGGCGCTTGAAAAGTGATCAGAATCTTTTCCGATTTTCTCTTAAATGTGAAAAAAAAAAAAAAAAAAAAAACGGTGGTATATTTATTTGTTCATATTTTGCTATTTATATATACGTAAGGTTAAGTCAAACTGACGGACGCTTCATAACCGGTTTAATTCGCTTTTTTTTCTAATTCTATGATTAATGGGAAGTAAGCCTAAGGGCGACGCTAGAGGGCGCCCCCAACACATTTGTCGCCCTAGGCAATTGCCTATCTCGCCTATAGCAATCGCCGGCCCTGTGTTTGGCTGAACATTTTGACATTTCAGTGAAAAAACATTTTTCAAAAGCTGAAATCAAAAACATTGTTGTTCAAAAACTGATTGAAATTAAAGTCCTAGCGGACTCGAGTAAAATGGATATAGATGTTTGTGATCATCCTTCTGTTGATCTAGGACTCCCTTCGTCAAAGGATGAAGGAGCTGCTGTAATGGCAACTCCCCAAAAGGGGTTGGCAGAGCCACAGGCGGCCCCTGCGACTTTACCACGGTTCAATCCGGTGTCACCAGAGCTCAGTGGCTCCAGTGGTAGTGTCAAACTCAAGGTTCGGCTGGCTCGCCTACAGCTGGAGGCACAGGAGAGGGAGTTGGTAAGAAAAGCTGAGTTTGATTTCAAACTTGAAATGCGCAGGTTGGAACTTGAAGCTGAAAAGGAGATTAAGCTAAAACAGCTGGAGGTAGAAGCTATGAGGCTTTCACGTAGCAACGCACCTCCTCGTTCATCTGTGTACTCTGATTCTCCACAGGTGGTGTCAGACAAAAACAAGTTTGATGTCAGCAAGAATATTGCTTTGGTGCCTGTGTTCAGAGAGTCAGAAGTGGACTCGTACTTCAATGCATTTGAGAGGATTGCTATAGCACTAGAGTGGCCAAATGCGATGTGGGCCGTGCTGTTGCAGTGTAAGCTCATAGGTAAAGCACAGGAGGTTGTTTCATCGCTGTCAACAGAGGATGGCATGGACTATGATGTACTGAAAAAGTCAGTCTTGCGTGCTTATGAACTTGTACCTGAAGCTTACAGGCAAAAATTCAGGAACCACAAGAGGTCTGGTGGCCAGACCTATGTGGAGTTTGCACGTGAGAAGGGACTACTTTTTGATAAATGGTGTGCTGCCAGTGAGGTTAAAGGTAACTTTGAATCCCTTCGCCAACTAATTTTGTTGGAAGACTTCAAGAACACATTGCCTGAGAGACTAGTAGTTTTCTTGAATGAGCAGAAGGTGGCCTCTTTGTCTAAAGCAGCAATTGTCGCTGATGAGTTTATGTTGACCCACAAGAATGTATTTGTGTCTGTACCTCGTGCAGATAAAGTTTTGAACATTCGTCAACAAAAACCTGACCCCACTCAGTCAGAAGCTAAGGCCAAGCAAACACCTGTTTCTCCACGTGAGG